TTCAGCCTGCCCAGCTGCAGCCCTGACATGGACACACAAACCACGTGTTAAATAGTTTCCATCATAAACCCCAAGCACTGGGAAAAACTCCTACCAACACCCTGTCCTTGGGGAAGCTTCCCTGGGAGCCAGCTGGATCTAGGGTTTACCTTTACCTAGTTAAACATGAATCACTGTTGTCTGATTAGAGGTGATCTTCCCAGTACTTTGCTGACTAAACCATGGTGTTTTGACACACCAGTTCAAGAGCTGTCACTTTAATTACATGAACGAGTGGTGACGCAAAAAAAACAGAAGTAGCAGCAAAACGAAAAAAAAAATATTACAAACCCCCAAGTGATAGAAACAGAGCTTTAATGAGATCACTGGGAGGGCTGGAGGAGCTGCACGAATACGTAGGAGGGGATGAGCTGTGCCCACACCCAGAGAATCTCTCTGAGGGACCCTGAGCCCGTCACAGAAAGGGGAAGGTTTTTACAACCCCTCATTTGACAGCTGAGAAGTTGAAAGGGAGAAGGGCTGCATTCCAGGGGGGTGCAGGAGGCCAGGAGCTGAACGTGGCATCAGGGCCAGGCCTTGCCCCTCTGCTGCAGCCAACAGCACTTGTGAGACATCAAAGTGCTGAGCCTGATACCGAATTATTGACGTTTTCAAATAGGGCAGCAGGTAGAAATAAGGAGCATTTGCTACTCACACTTTTTGGGGGATGAGTTGTTCTTTTTCAAAGGAAATGGCTTCTTACCAGAAATAAACTTTCAACCTCCATTTATCCTTCAAATTTCCTTCAAGTCTTTCACATTTTTATCTAAGAAAGTCTTTGCAGACACCAAAACTGCCCAGTTTGTGCAACACCTTCCAAGTTGACCCTAGATTGTGCATTCAGGTTAGGGAAAAACAAACAAACAGAAAACCAGCACAAAAAAAGCCTTGTTTTGGGGACTTGCATTTAGCTGAAAATGAAAAACATTCATTCTCAACAACCTTTCTCACTTAGAAAAATCTCCTCTGTGACTTCAATCCTACTTCCTAAAGAAAGAGGTGAGAAAAGAAGTGCTCTGTCCTCCCAGCAGAGCTCTGGGTTTTCCCAGCCCACCTCTCACCAGCCCCCATGACCCACCACATTTTCCCATCGTGTGATTCCTGGGACTCCAGGCACAGGCTCCAACCAGAGCAGTGACCCTGGTTCTCTCCAGTTAAACCTGTTACCTACGTGAATGAGCTGAGGAAAACCAACAGGAGGCCTCCCAGCAACGAGTTTGTGACTCCAGGGGTCAGTGACAGGGGTTTGAAACCCTCCACAAGTTTGGGATAATATATATATTATATATATGAGCCTGGATGATATATAATCTAGACTCATATTCTCCCAATCCTATTTACTAAAGCAATAAGAACTTGCACTTCCCATGGCACCCTGGGCATATTATTATACTATGTAATTTCCTTCTGCAAAAAGCCAATTAACTGTACATGTCTGTACCCATTCTGCCAACTACATCATTTCATAATTTCAGAACAGCAGCACAAACTGCCAGGGAGTTATCAGCAAGAAATGTTCTGCAATAATTAATAGATGCAGAGATTAGGAAAAGGAGCAAACTAACCACACAAATTAACACAGTCAATTATAATGCAGCGCTTTACAGGGCCAGGATCTTGTGTAAAATGAAGTTCCCTATTAAGTTTTACCATCTCCCCCTATGGCAGAGGCCAAGGAGCAGCCTGAACATGAGCTGGTTTGAGAACTGGGTTTTGGTTTTTTTTTTTTATTTCCCCCTGTTTGTGCTCTAAGGCAGAGATTTGAGAACAAGCAGGTCTGATTGTAGTTTGGGATCTTAAATCATCTCTGACCCCCCTTCCCTCTCCCCTTTGGTCAACAGGTGATGGAGTCATGCTGAACAAAACCTTCCATAATTGACTTCTCCTTTCATGGATCTGGCCATTTTCCACTCTTCCAGACAGCTGTGAGTCCAGGGTGGACACTACTGGCCCCACCATCTGACCTCCACTGGGCTCCTGCCTGCACAGCACAGGCTGCTCAAAGCATGGACAGCACTGAAACCTTCAGCTTCACCCAACTTCCTCAGAGCCTCTGGAAAATCCACTCCCTCCCAGTTTCGTGGAAAGCCTCTGGTCTAAGCAACTGAGATTCTCTCACCATTTTTTTTTAATACTTCTCATATTTGGGTTTGTGGTTTTAGGCTGCAGGAGACACATTTACAGAACAGAATAATCTCTGCTGGTTCAGACTCTTCTCTCCTTTCTCACCCATACTCCTCCTCTTGCAGTATCATGACAATCACCAAGCAACTAATGTTAAAACTGGAAAGAACTTCCAAATTTCCTCACAAAAAAAAAAAAAAAAAAAAAAAGACAGGGGAAAAAAAAAGGAAAAAAGAGAGAAGAGAATCAGTGATCTTAATATTTAAAGGCTCAAAATACTTAAAATGAAGGATTAAAAAAAATTAGGTTTGGAAAGCTAAAGAAAACAGAATAGTCTCATTTATTAAGAAGTATTGCTGACTCCTACCACTCCAGCAGACTGTGCTCAATTTGCAAAAGAAACAGTTTGTCCTCAGAGCAACAAAACTATTTAAGAAAATTACTTTTTTTGTTGTCATTCTTTTCTTTTACCTTTGGCTCCTGAGCTTTCTGGGCATATTTTATCTCTTGTTTCTAAATGCACAAGGCCTGTTTCCTTAAGGAAAGAAGCAGATCCACATACATTCAGATGACTGCAATCCCACATACCAGGGCACCTAATGAAGAGACCATGCAAAAAATGGTCTTTTACCATCTTCTGTTTCAAATGTAGAAGAAAGCTGCTGAATTCCAGGCTGGACACTGCAGGGTTAGGGTGAGGAAAAGCACAATTCTCCCTCTACCCCATGACAATGAAAGATTTCTCTCCAACAGAAAATGACATGGCTTCTTCAGCAGCTTCTAAAAGGGCCTGGATTTTTTTGCTTGGCTTTTCATCATTAAAAATTGAGATCCTCAGCTGGAGAGCAGAGGGAAGTGTAGGAGCATCAGCTGAGCTTAATTTTCCTTTTGCATAAATCCGACTCACTGGTGCTTTGGCTTTACTTGCTCCTCCTTTCATCTGGAGCCAGGCGGGTGCCTGGAAGGTGGAGCTGCCTGAGCACAACTGGCAGTTCTGCATTATCAGAGCCCAACAGGATGATTTATGGAAGATGAGGACTGAGCTCCTGGCTTCGTGTTTTTGCCGTGGGAGATGTTCCCCTGTTGATACCCAATGGTGGAAGGTTTTCAGCGTTGTCATGGGAACGGCTCTGCTCCTTGGAGAGCAGCCTCTCCTCCATGTGAGGCTGCCTTGCTTGTTTACTGTACAAAGCCATTTTTCGGGAGCGTTTTGCCTTGGATTTCCAATAGCCTCACCTTTCCTAAAACTCAGGTAGTAGAAATTATGGAGATTATGATGGATGGTGATAAAGCTTCCAGAGGGAAACAGGCAGGACCCAGTATGTGTCAACAGCACGAGCTCATTTTCATTTGCCAGAAAAGTGATCTGACAGCTTCATTATCTACTTAAAAGGCTCACTCTTGCTCACTCTCACACACACACACTTCCTTCCCCCAGGAATTTACCAACAGGATTTGTTTGTGCAGTCACACAAGGTGTGGAGGTGAAGCCAGCACACGGCACAGCCCTTTTTAGGATGTGCTGATGCAGAGACATTTGCAATGTCTTGTTTCATCAAGTGACAGCCTGTGCAGAAATACAGCTGTTATGAGAGCCCCTCGGGGGCTAATTCTTTCGTACTCCTGCATGCCCAGGCTACAGTGACAGGAGGAAAGCACTGTCCTACCATGCCACCACCAGCAGCTCTTGACAGCACCTCATGTTATCAGCTCTCGGGGATGAGGCAGCAGCAAAGAAAACCCCTGTGGAAGACTTCAATTTTTTAGGCATTACTAAGCAAAAATTGCATCTTTTATAGCTTCAGTCCTCAATTCTGAAAGCATCTGGTAAAAGCAGGGTTTCGTGTGATCAAGAGTTTGGGTAGATTTTGAAAGTAAAAAACATTTCCAATAGCTGGCTCCTTTCTGTTCCTGAAATGACCACCCCCCTCTGTAGGGCCCTGTGGCTCAATAAGGGGCTTCTGCAGGACAAGGAAAACCTTCCAATGACTAAATGCTATTCTGATTACAGATCCCCTCCAAGGGATGAAACTGGCTTTCAGTTTGACAGAAATCTTCACCGCAAAAACCGGAATGACATTCTACAGTTATTTATTCCCAGCCCATTTCTGGGATCACATCCCTCCCCTCACACGCCAGCAAGTGCTCCTGGGACAGCCACAAGTTCATCACAGGTTATGTGACACAGTGAAGTACAAGACTTTTTTTTTTTTTTTGGTCTTAAAATCTTGCTACTCTGGGATGAGATTATCCTCCTGTGAGTCATTAATCCATGGCCAGCTTGTAACACACAATGAGAAGCAGAACCCTGCTCTCAAATCCCTTCTGTACTGGCCAAGGACATCAGGCACTTTCTGAACGCTCAGCACCCACCACACGCCTCAGTGCTCATTCATGTCTCCATGCAAGACCTTCAGCATGGTCATTAGATGGTTTTTGTGATCCTATTCCAGACTAGAACTGAACTTGAGCATTAAAACTCTGCTGGAGCCAGCCCCAGCCTCTCACCTGGGTGTGACAGACGGAACGACCTCGACCTCGCCCTGCAGCGCCTCTGCCCCAAAGCACAAGTCCTGTCTGTAATTTTGGTTTTAAGCAGACTCAGAAGCATGTGTATAACAAAAGAAATATCACATCCGCTTCTGCACAGTGGTAGGTCGTGGTGCTGCACTTCCACTGGGAAATCCTGAGTAGTTCTGGAACTGGGCAGCAGAGACTTTTCCTTCAGCCTGACCTGCTGGAGCTAAGGAGTCAGTGGCAAGCCTGAAAAAATTAGGGAGGTTCAGGTGCTAAAGAGATGGCATCACACAGATTAATCAAACAGACAGACACTGGGATAATATCTTCAGTCTCCTTTATTTTCATTTATAGAAAAGTATGAATAGAAATCAGCAGATTTTAAGGAAAATATTTCAAATATTTCCCAGTCAAAACCACAAGGCTATAGTCAGTCCTTCCTATTTAGAGCCCCAGGACTGCACTGCATTTTGGGGCAACTCAAGAGATGCTCCTGGAAACCTTAAGTCCAAGGGCCAATTTGTCCCTGATATCTGCTATTCTCACAGATTTGAGCAGACTCATTTCTAAGTTCTGACATTAACTCAGCAGTGCAAGATCAACCCTCTGTAAGAATGAGGGTCAGTATGAAATGATGAGACCAGGGAGGGTGAAAACAGAAGGAAAAGATACACAAGCACAAGCAGGAAGCATCCACAAAGTGCTATTGCCATGAAAAGGAGGCACTTGAATTAATTTACTTTGTATTGTTGATTCTTCGTTGAGACTTTAGAAAAAGAATAATTAAACCTGGGTTCTTATGGCCTTTATTGTCGTATTTGTTATTTGGTAAATTCTCTATCCTCTCAAGAAAGGAGGGATTTGCAAGAAGTCATCAGGGTCAGACATGTCTCTCTCAGGGAAGAAAGAGACTGGCACTTCCCAGCCAGCCTGATTTCTTTGGAAATCGAGGAGCACAGACAGACAGAGGACTCCGGGTGCCCCCTCTGACACGGAGCAGTCGCTGCTTTGCCCAGGGCTCCCGCTGCTGCCAGAGGAGGCACCACAGCCCCGGTGCACTGGGGCTGCCTGGGGAAGTCAGATGAACAAGAAGCTGTGAACAGAAGGGCAGGAGCAAGTGTCCAGCTGGCGAATTCTCCTCCAGGTTCCCTTGCATCGAGGGTTCCCCACCGCCTGCCAGTGCAACAGCTGATTCCTGAAACACAGTCACCAGAGGGAGACAGTAAATAAGCTGCACCCCCACTGCAGGGCAGTCACAACGAGGCCTTAAATCACCCAGGAAATCCCATTTAGTTTGACAACATCCATTTTCACTCCATGGCCCCAACTCTGCCTTTCTACCAATGTGAAGAGGCAGCAGCCACACGGAGGCTTGTAGGTTGTACAAGTGTGAAGCAAAACCTCTCAGCCACAGAAACGGAGATTTTGGCTGTAGCACTGTGCCCATTCCCAGATTTTAGCATTCAGCAGTTTAAGGGAATTCCTCACATCACTGTTTTCCAGCCCTGACCTTTGGAGAAGCACAAATACCACAACTAGATCAACTCTGGCCTTGTGCAGAGCGCTGCCCACAGATAGCCCAGCAGACCCCCAGCTCTCTTTGGTTTACAGTTCTGTGGAAACTGGAATTACTGTTCTAGCTCCACCAAGATAACCCTGCCCTTGGCTTAATGAGGTGTCATGCTCCAGAGCCGGGATTTATGTGTCACACATGGCTGGAAAAAGCTCGCTGTATTTTTCTTTTGGCTCAGGGTCATTTCAAAATACCAGATTCTGAGGATTAAGATCCCAGATAAAGCAGGCTGTGCACAGAGCAGTCCCATACCCTTCAAAACTCTGGGCTGCAGCTTTACCTTTACTTCTTAAACACATAAGCTCAACTTGCTTACTCTCATCTTGCTGGTAGGGAAGGCAAATACTGACTTTGCTATAAAACAGGTTAAATCAAGTCCATCCATCCTCTCTGTCCCTCTGCCCCACAACATGGGCACAAACTGCTGAAGTCTGGACATTCATGTGCTGCAAGCACCACATCTTGCTCCAGATGATGAGCAGCTGATCCTCCAAGACACAGGGTAACAGTTTCACAGATGTCAAGTCTGTGCTTTATTTGTACATCTTCTAGAAGAGGGTCCAAAATTAGTAGATCTACTTCCCAGCTCAATGCTCTGCCTTGTCTATCCCATAACCTTCTAGAACAAAAAAGGCAATGCAAGCTAGATTATCCTAGCTATCCTCACCTGGTGGCCCCAGATCTGGCCATACACCAAGGACTTTGAGAAACATCCTAAGCTTGCATAACAGGGGTTAAAATAAAATAGCTTCTTCTACAGAGTGGGAGACAGGTGGAAGGCAGAGATAACAAGCATCTCTCTTCAACTTGAGACATTTATAAGCCAGACTCCACTTAGACACAAGAAGATAATTAGGAAATACTCATCAAAATATACCAGCATTGCTGAGTTTATTTTAAACTCTGTCAGCTGTTTTCCTTCCTGAGAGTCACTCTTGGAACAATATTTCAAGGAACCAAACGCTGGCACGAGGGGGAAGCCAAGCACAGGCACGGCGTGGGTGGGACGCTGTGCACGTGGAGACCTGGGACTGCACGAGGACAGGGCACAGCCACACCCTGCCCACGGCTCTGGGTGCAGCCACACCAGCAGAAAGTCCAGCTGAGGGTGCACTGAGTGACTTGTGAGCTGATGGAGAAAAACTCAGCACGTGCTGCATCCCAGACTCTGGCATCAGCTTTGGCCTCCCACTGTCCCCTTTCTCAGGGCAGCACCTTTCTTTACAAGCATCACATTTATGCCCTCCACATCTGGACAGCAAATCCCAGCCCGAGGGGCCCCAGAGCACTGCTCTCTCACAAGCCTGAATGCTCACATATGCCCCTTTGAATAACAGAAAGCAGAAGCCTTTTCACAGACATTTCTCTCATCTCACTCAATGGCTGTTCCCAACAGTCCAATTTCTTCTCAAGAGATCACAGAAGTCAGCTTTTTCCTTCAAGATCTGGTAAAAAAAATATATTGTTTCTGGAAACAAATGAGAGGATAGCTCTGCTCACATAAACAATATACCTATAGTAAATACTTCACTTGAGATGCTGATAACAAGAAAATCAAGCAAGATACTGAGCCCTGGACAACCTCCTTGACCCACCACTCTAAGGTCAAACAGTGACACAGACAGTTTCTAGGCTCTGCTCAATTCTGATGAATTTAAACTACCTGCTGAGCCATGGGCTGAGTCCTGACTTCAGTGAACCAGTCACCATTCACCCCAACTCTGTTATTGCTGCCTCCCTCCTGCTTTCAGCCTGCCAGCATTTGAGGATCAGATCATCATTCCTACAGGACACAGCCCCCTTTCCTTTGTGCTTCCGTTCCACATACAGCAGTGTTCACCAGATCAGGTGATGACAATGCCCCCCTCTTTCTGTAGCCCAGTACAGAAATGAATTCCTGAAAATATTTTTATTTCACTTAATCTGATGCTCCTGACTGGTTCCAGAGTTTTAGTAAATAACATTATTGCAAGCTTTTATAATCATTTACAGGTTGAATGCAGGTAAGAGCTACTCCTGGCCACACCAGGATTTTTTCCTTCCTTATCTAAAAGCTTACATAACAAGCTGAAGAGGGAAGGAACAAACTCCAAAGTGACTTCCTCATCCTGAAAGCCTGAGAAAAACCCTGCCCACAAAGGCCATTATTGGCAGTCTTGGTAGTGCAACACATTGTGTGTTTCAGGCCTGACAATCCTAGTTTAGAGTTTCTAATTCAAACCAATGTGCTTATTCCAACATTTATATAAGTTTTAAATATATCCCTGCCCAGCACTGATGGGCAATGATTTTCTCAGGCAGGGCTGCTAATCAGCTTCAGAGGATGCCTTTAATAAACCAGCAACGGGGTTAGGAGTATCAGGATTAAGGCAGTGCAGAACTGTGCCTCCAGTGACCACCACAGAGGTTTGGGAACCAGGACCCCTCCATTGCTGACTCTGCCCCAGAGGTGTTTCACAGCTTCAAGCCATTCCCTTCATCTTTGCCAGAGTCTGCCCAATTTCTACAACCTGGGTGGTGCAAATCAATCACCCCAAAGCTTCTTTAGCTCTCCAGGGAAAGGATGCTGAATGTACAGAGACTTACCAGTACTTCCATCCAACCTCAGATGCCAGCACATACCCCAAGTCCCTAAGGCAGCTACCATTCACCACAAGTACTCAAAAAGGGTCACTTGGAGAAACAAAATCCCCAGTGCTGAAAAATCAGAAACAGAATTGGCTTTATTTGACATCTGACAGGACTATTAACCTTAGAAGCCTGGCTGGAGTGTCTTTAAAACAAAAAAACTCCACAACTGTGCCACCCTAAAGCCAGTGAGATTTAGCAGACTAAGGGCAGGTACTCCCACATCCAGTCCTGGTTCTGCCCTGGTTTAATACATGAGCTTCACCAGGTCATTTCAACTCTTCAAGAAACTCATGGTATGCAAAAAGGAGCAGTGAATATATGTAGAGTGCTCCACAGAGCTCCATGCAGCACCTTGGGACACTGGAACAAGAGGATCAAGGGAGAAGAATGAAAAATTCAACATGAAAACAAAAGCTAAAACTCTTACTTTCTGCTCCCGGTGCCATCCCCGGAGCAATGCTGACTTCTGGAGTCCAGGGCCGGGTGCTGACACTCCACACAGACCGTGTGGCCCTCCCTGAGGTAGCGCATCCAGCGGGTGTACGAGTGGTGGCTGTGCAGGCAGCCCGGCGTGATGGCCACCAGCTGGAACTCAACACAGTACCTGCAAGCAAAGTCACTGAGAGGGTCAGTCAGCTCAATGACCAGGCTAGAGCCCTCCACAGGACTGCCAGACTAAACTGGAAGACCATAGATCACTAATTAAGAAAAACCGAACCAAACCAAAAAAAACCCCACACCCGAGGTCATTAAAAGCAGAACACGTGGTGTGCTTGCATTTTAATAAGGTTAAATAGGGAATAAAACTACTCTGCTGGTGCTTTCAACTGACATGTCAAAAATACAAATAGAGACACAGATTGGTCAAGCATTTGACTAATTTAATTCCAAGCCTGGTATCCATTTGCTGAGCCACACTTTCTCTACCAACTCCTATCTGTTACCTGTAATGGGTTTTGTACAGCAGCTTGTGACAGAACCTAAGAGTCAGTCTGTAAAGGTTTTCCTGTCATGGTCTCCCTCCTAAGAGAGTGAGGCTGTCACATCTCAGTGGGAGGACAACCAGACTGACACAGTACTTCTATGCTTCTGATTTTAGCCAAACCTGAGAAAGAAACAGGCAAAGCCCAGGGACTGCAGGAAGAACCCCTGGGGAATCACCAGTTTGCAAGGCTGTGTATGAGGGGTTACAGGGTGGAAGATAACCTTTCCCATCAGCACTGTGTCCCTGCTAGCAAGGAGCCCAATTGGGAAAGAGGAGGACTGGGAAGGTTGATGCCAGCTCCCTGTGTTTGAGGCACCAGCCTGGAGGCAGGGCAGCACACACAGACATGGCAGAAGGTGAAAAGCAACAGAGCTTTTAGCACAGCCCTGCCTGTACCTGTGCTGTGAAACAATGCTGCAGGGGAAAACAGGCAATGTTACAGCCAAGAGGGACTGAAATGGGAGAGGGATGTGCTTCCCATGCAACAAGACAGCAAACTGGCCCCTGAGAATTTACCCCATTTATGCAAAGAAGTGCAAAGTGCACCAGATTCTACACTGAGAAGAGCTGAAGTGAATGGTCTTTGGCTTTTTGATCACATGAACACCAGTGACACCATGAACGAAGAGATGAATTTCAGCCCTGTACTGGCCTCACATCAAGGCAAACCCCCAACCTTCCGAGGCCCTGCAGACAGGGCTGGGGCTGAGGGGACAGCAGGGCCCTGCTCCAGTGAAGTGCTGCCGTTCTGCTGGGGAACACTGGCTCTGAGTGGCGAAAAGCTGGGCCACAAACTGCAACCAGAGAGACTCTGCGGGTGGAATACAACTGAGTCCCTGGGCCCAGCCTCCTCCAACTTACCCTGCTCTTTCCTTGCCATCAGCTGCAGATCTTTTCTTCCTCGCTTTTCCAAACCCTCCCGTAGTTATTAATGCTGGGACTGTGTTTACCAAAGAGAAAGGGTACAGAGCGTCAGTGGCAATGCTGCACTAAGGCTCCTCACGTCTGCAAAACAGCAAAGATGGGCTTTTAATGTCACAGGGTTTTATCTTCAGCAGGAGACAAAAACAACTCTAACTTTGTATTTTCGTATTAGCCATGACAGTCAACCATTTCACTGGAAAGAGAATCTGTAGAGCTGCCAGATTTTAGCCTGAGCAGAGTAAGCCTACTTGTAGGCACATCCAAAAGACAGAGAGGGAGACAACGTTCACTTAATGCCCACTCTCAACAGGTTTGAAGTCAGCTGCTGCTGACATCCAGACTGGGCAAATTTTGACCCCAAAATCAGCAAAAATGACAAGTAATTCTTCTAAAACTCGGTAAAGGTGTGTCATGAAAAGCTGATTTGAACCAACTAAAATCAGGTTTTTTCTCCAGAAACTATTTGGAGGTCTCCTCTGCCTGCACTCTGCTCCAGTGCAGAGAAGTAATATCTTGTCTGACAGGTATTGCTCCTTTGTGACTTTTTGCAGATAACACATAAAATAAAATAAAAAAAAAATATATAAATGACAAAAAAAAGTATTCAACATCCACTTACAGAAGTTTTAAACAGACATATATCTGCCAACCCTATCAAAATTGCCAGAGATTTACGCTTGTATAAGTGAGAGCACAACAGGCCTGTAATATCTCACTTTTGAGCAGGACACAGCTAATGGCAGGCACCACCTCCAACACTGGGAAGGACACATGGAAGCCCTGTGTGAAGAGCTCAGTTCTCACTTACCCAGGCAGGGCCAGGGCAAACAGGCTGGTGCCTGAAAACAACTCTTCAAATATAGTGAAGACCAGCTCTGCTGACCCAAACCAGAGTCCTCCCCACAATCACCCCCCCAGATACTTTTATTTTCAGCAGACTCACTCAGGGACTGTTTGCACTCTGTTCCTTGCTGAGTCCAGTACTCCACACAGCCAGCCCTCTCCTCCAGAGCAGGACATGCCTCTGCCCCGTTCCTGGGCTCCTGGACAATGTGCCTCGTCCGGACCCGATACGTTGTCTTGCAAGGCTCTGCACAGCCACTCCAGGGGCTCCACTGAGATACCACACAGGGGATAACTGGAGGAAGAGTAACAAAAAGGGGGTGTGGAAGGTTAAAGGAGTGATGCCAGTAACATGCCTTCTCCAGAAAAGACATTTTTTGACATAGCTCAGTACAACCTTCCTTATTTCAGACCTGTCCCACAGTTGTGTTGGGCAGTTCCCAGCAGTTCTCCTCCCAGGAGATCATCTGCCCAGGCTCCAGCCAACCAACACAACCCGACAACCAAGAACAATTGCTTTGGAGAAAAACACTTGCAGGTCGGCCTAGACTCATACATTACTTCCCCCACACATATTCTCAGTTGGCTTCAGTCCCTCTCCTTGCATTTCTGCACCTTGTGCCCAAGCTGGGTCAGTGTAGGACAACACACCCTGCCAGGACCTCCAGTGTTAGTTGTCAGGGAACAGGGGTTCACTCCCTTGCTGGTTCAGCCCTCAGGTGCCTCAGGCACACAGAGCTGCTGAAGGCCAGCCCACACCCCTGTGAACACACTGAGCCAAGGGCTGCCTTCCACCAAAGTCCCTGTGAGCACCTGAGGCAAACCCCCCATGCGTGACCCCCGATGCTGAGCTCAGGCATGAGGAACTCCCTGGTTCCCAGCCCAGCTCCCCTGCTGCTCTATCACTCAGTTTAAAGATGTGGATGAGCCCATTCAAACACATTAAGAAGAGCCACCGTGCTCAGCACCTACAGCAACAGACATTACCAACTTACAAGGGCATGCACAACCCTGGGGCCCAATGATTTCAGTGGAACACGACCTGCTGAATGCTGGGACAAATCCCAGCCTTTCTGAGCAGCTCAGGCTTGATACTTCAATTTATTCTCCCTCAGAACACAGACAAACCTAACTACAGCATTAACCTCACTGGAAAATGCATTTGTCTTCAGAAACTTTAGGATGATCATTCAAATGCTACTGCTCTTCTTTTTTGTCTAAAGGCAACACAAACAGCTTTTTAAACCTATTCAAAGACTAGACATTACATCAATTATCTAAGTAATTGCGACATTTCTTATATGCAGCAACACACCACAAATGAGCCTTTGCATCGGACTGTAGGCTACCCAACTTTATCATCCTTTTAAGCATTTGGTTTGATCAGAATATTGTGCTCTTCAGTTTGGTTTGGTGTCAGTTATTAATGCATTTTCTTTAATATTTGGCTTTACAAGTCAGTTTGATAAAGTAGCTCTTGAGTAGAAAAGAAAGAAAACTACTGGAAAAGGTTAGGCTGTGGAGGCAATACAAGTCAAAGCAGAGCTGAGTCCCTGACCTCCAGGACAAACAAATCACAAGAAATAACACAGAAACACCTCACCCAGCAGAGCAGCAGCTCTGCCAGCTCACAGTGAGCAGGCACTGCTGTACCTCAGGGAGCAGGTGCTGCTGTTCCCTGGGGAGCAGCTGTCCCTTCAGTGCCTGACCACATCCTGCCAACACATTTTCCTTATTACTCAGCTAATGAATCAGCTGTATGAATAGACACAAGAGGCTCCTGTCCATCCCACTTATCCCTGACAACTGCCAAGAGCAGCAGGATTCGGACACAGAGGTGCTGAGGGAGCAGCTGAGAGCCCAATAGTTGTCAGGCACCAAAGGCATGGGGGCATCCAGCACCAACACCATCCTGAACAGCCCCAGCAGCAGGGGAGCCCAGTGCACGGCCCTGCAGCGCTGGGTGTCCTTCCTCGGGAGGGGAGAGGCAGGTTTCAGGGATCCCAGCAGCCCCACTTCATGCTCCCTGCTGCCCTTGGGAGCTGTGGGTCTACAGGTCTGCCAGCCTGGCCTCATCCACAGACATATCTTGTATAAATCACTCCGGAATTAACCTATTCCCAACCCATTTTCCAGCTCTGTGTTGAAAGGAAAAGGACAAATCACAGGAACGTGTGCCCATCTGCCTAGAGCACAACTCTGCTTTGGCACAGCTATGCAGGTTTGAAATCAAAGGCATTATGTGAGCGGTAAGGATCCTTGAGGATGCTGTTTGTGGGAAGGGAGTTCCGTTCCACTTACTAAAGTAACTTTTCTCCTTAATTGACATCCACACTTAGTAGAAGACGTCCCTGGAGGGAGCACTACTGTGCTCCCCGGGACCCCGACACAGCCGCACGGGCATCGGGGTCCAGGCTCTCGCCAGGGGAAACCTGAAGCTGCAGCTGCCGATGCCTTTTGCAGGACAGCACGGACTGACAGGAGCAGCGGATCTGATCCCATCCACGGTAATTCAATCCACAAGAGGGAAAGGGGGATTCTGACTTAGGAAACGTCCCGTTTCACGCTTCTGTCCTGTAGGAAGACGCAGCAGCATCCTGACCTGCCCAGCGAGCTCCTGCTCCAACGGGACCCCGGCGGGACCCGGCACCTCCGAGAGCCACGGCCCAGGTGGGGAGCGGAGCGCCCGCAGCATCCCCGCTCCTTCGGGCGCCCGCAGCCCGCCCGCCCTCCCCACGAGCCGCGACGGTGCCCGGACACGCGGCCAGAGCCCGAGGGGGGCACGGACCGCTCCGCTCGGGGGCTGCCCAGCCCAGCCCCATCCCCTCACCCGGGCAGGTCTCGGCATAGTCGTGGCAGCAGTCGAGGGTGCGGACACACGCCTGGTCGCAGTAGCAGGGCCCGGTGGAGCCGTCGGGCCGCCGGCCGGTGCTCAGGCAGGCGGGGTCGCGGCCGGGGCAGCAGAGCCCGCGGGCCGCACACCCGGCGGGCAGGGCCGGCGGCAGCAGCAGCAGCAGCAGCAGCGGGATCCAGCGGGGGCTGCGGGCCATTGTCCCGCACCGCCCGCGCTCCCACACCGGCGGGAGCTGCGGCGGAGGGGCCGGGCCGGGCCGGGCGGGGCCGGGGCGAGTCCTGCGGCGGCCGCTCCCCCGGGATCAGCGAGTGCCGGCCCGGGCAGAGCCCCCCGTGCCGCTGTCCCGTGCCCAGCCCTGAGCCGCAGCCCTGTGGCAGCAGGTGCTGCTCACACCAACACCCTCCTCTCCCGCCGCACCCGACAGTCCCACTCCTGCAGACTTTTCAAACCGCAGGTATCATTTCTGCACTGACTGCTGGCACTTACCCGCCAGAGTATCATAAAGATTATCACCAAAAACGGATGATAAAAGAGACAATTTTTTGCCTGATTTGACTCCAGCATACCTCAGCAGCCATTAAAAACCTGAAAGTACTTCATTCCCAGTACAGCAGCTCCTGAGGAACACGATCCAGCTGGCTATTCTGCCTCTCTACAGAATTACTCTGAATTTTCTGCTTACTTTGAAACGTAAGAAGCTCAAAGTGATTACAACCACTCCTGTGAATTATTTAGCTATTCAGTAGGAAGCAAAAGGCTTTACTGTAACTTTTTATCAAAGAGGCTTACTCTTAAATATTGATCACAACAGATGTTATACCTTGCTAAACACTGAACTGGGATTTATAAAACCCACCCACTGATTTTTTGCAAGTGATTATGCTGTTGTACTAACAGTGGGTATGGGCAGAATGTTCCCACTTCAGGGAGACTGCAGCAAAGATGCTTCTGGAGAAACAGAAAATAACATTAGAAGACAGGCTAACACCTTCAGCATGTGCAGTGCTGGAGGCTTGTATGCAGAGGAGATGTGGCACTGTGCCAGCTCGGGCAGAACATGGTAAAATGCTCCAAAAAGATAAGAAATAAAAGGAACTTCAGCTTCTTTGTATATCAGTAGATGTCTGCAGCAAAGGACAGATGTCTCGTTTTCTTGGCAGTGGTCAGATACTGTCACCTTGGAAATTGCACGTGTGACAAATCCTGCAGTGGGAAAGAGGCAAAAAGGCCAGGAGAGGAAAGAGAAGAGCACTGGAAATTAGAGGCCATGGGGTCTAGGAAGTAGGAATTAAACGATACCAGGAGTTAATTCCTGTCTCTGCCAGTGAGTCACTCCCCATGTGACCTCAGGTAAGTCATTTAACCAGTGAATGTCTCATTCTTGATCTAGAACAGGAAGGACATTCAAAAGGAGATTGCATTACTCAGCTAATTAGTTAACACAAACCAGAGGCCTGTGTGGCTCTTGTGCAATTCCCTGTGGGGCAGCAACAGAGCACAGTTCCCAGGACCAGCACTCCTGCTTCCATGCTCCCCATCCCCCTGCCAACATTTGGTGAGGTAGGAGGAACACCTTCCCACTGTTCTGAGACACACAGAACTGCCTGAATAAAAATTAGCTTCTGAAAGCAATGAGGCCACACAAAGACTGCAATTTTGACTGACCCTGTGCTGTTAGGAAAGTTGCATCTGGGTCCAGGCATCTCAGTAGGGTTTATATTCAATCCCCCAGCCAAATTCTTGGGAGCAAACTTTGTTTCTCATCTCACATTCCTGCAGTGAAAGCAGTTCTCCCTTGTTCTGGTTTGACATAGCCCTAAGGATTTCTTAGGATTTGGGGTTTTTTTACCATCTTTAGAGCCTGCCAGGGAATGTCAAAGAAGACAAGGAAACATGGCCCAAGCCATGCTGGACCACATCAGCCCAGGAAGAGATTTCTTGCAAGACAACTGCTGAGTCTAAAAGTGTGTCTGTTGGCCCTGTGAGGAGTATTGGAGCCAAGCAAATGTGCTTTAATAGAAAGGAAATGTGGCTAGTCCATTGCACAGGGAGAGGTCAGGAGCAGAACAGCTTGCAGGGCTGTCCTTGGCAGCGGAGATTGTGTCTTCCATCCTATGGGGAACACCACGAGGCAGCTCACTAGGGCAGGTGGAAATGCAGCTTCATCAGCTTACCCAAACCCAGCTGCTCTCCTGGCTGGCCACGCCAGGCTCCTGCCCCCTCACTCACTTTCCTTCCTTAATTAAGCTGCCCTGTGCTGGAGCTGCCACTGACCCAGTTCCCAGAGGCCTCCTGCTCCCTTCATTAACTCTGAGGGGCAGGAGATGTCACAGATGGAAAGGCCCTTCCAAGGGACAAAGGGGAGCTTACTCTCACTTTTATTCTGGGTAGCTAATCCGTGTCCTTGCCTGCACTACAGGCTGATCTGTGGAATGGGGAATGCTGTCCATTACCAGCTCCGTCCTAAACTTCATTTTGCCATAACTTTCACCTCATAATAAAAAAAATATTATTTTGAAGCCTAGATAGGATTTACCAAGTTTTTAAATAGGATTTACCCTAATCCCAAGTGTTAGCCCCTTAACCTCCATGTCTCTTCACCTGATAGCAAAGGTGTCAGGATGGCAGTATTTTCTTTGCTCTGTGTTTGTACAGCTCCTTGCACTCATGCAGGATTTGAATTCTGTGTATTCCAGCAATAAGGAAACAAAAAGAACTATCATTATGCAGGACAAAAGGAAAAAAAAAAAGGTTCTGGTTTAGAGTGTCTGATTTTACTTTCCACTGTCACAGCCAAGCCTGTAAAAGCATAGAAGGAGAGTAGCCAACCAAGTGATCTGATTTCTTGGAGCTGATTTCTACAGCTATATGAGGGCCACAGGAGAGCTGGCTGCCACCTCATCCAGGGCTCTCACAAGGGATGCTCTGCTTGTTCATTACATTGCAGCAAGAAGCACCACCAGCTCCCAAGAGCCTTCCAGAACATGAGTCAAATCAACAGCAATGGCAACACCACTTGTCCAAGTGAAGGCAAAGGTCAGCATTTCCCCCTATGCGTTTGCTGCTGTGAACAGGTACTGACCTGAAAACCCCAGCAGAGTCCGTTCTGTGCCTGCTGCCTGTCCTGCCTCACACCCAGAGTGTGCCAGGGCTCCCTTTCCCAGGCTTAGAACTGAAAAGACCTTTAAACATCATTCCTCTGCTGTACAGATCTGCTGGTTTTTAGCACACAGAGATATGGGAGAAAGTTGATACCAAGCAAGATTCAGATATTTTCCTGAAGCAAATCTGAAGACAAATCAGATTATGAGCCCATCTATTTGAGATTCTTCTGTCTTTTGCCAAAGTAGAGAAGAACATTGAACCAAATAGTCCTAAACTCCAATTGCTAACGAAACCCACCCAGGATGATGATCTCATTAGGACTTAAGGGAGATTTGACCAGCACACCTGAACTAGGCTGTTGACCCAGAAACCAAAAAACATCTAATCTAAACGATTCTTAGGCCTGGATTTTTCTGTGTGTGCTCAGGAAGCCAGCAACCACTGCACACATCTTCAAATGTATCTTTGCCACCCTTGTAAAACTCCCCTTCGGCTGGCTGTAAAGAGAACCCCACAGCTCCCCAGAGTAGCAGAGGGCAGCAGCCCTCTCTGGAGCCCCACTGGATGACCAGCTGGCTCCAGCCTCTCTGCTGGCTCTCACCTCACCAGTTGTGTCCCCAGGACACAGATTCCTGAGGTACTGCTGAGAAAATCCACACCACAGCAGAGTAGTCATGGCTGAGCAAACACCTCCTTGGATTGAAACCCCAAAAGCATTCACCCTTGGTAAAGGCTTCAACACAGCAAAACTACTGTCTCCAGCAGACTCCAACACACATAAAATGCTGCACTGTAAGGCCATGGGGGAAGTCAGGCTAGAAGAGAAGCAGGGAAGTCCCACTCCTCTCATCCAGGTGTGGCCATAGGCACAGAGAACACAGATATTCTCCATCTCTCTTCTGCCAAAAGCCACTACACAACCCCATCACATACTGCCTCTCCACAGGGAGCTGGGCTGTGACTCACACAGGGCATAAAGGAAACAAACTTGTTGCCATTAAAAAGCTATTATCTTTAATGAAAGCTAGAGAAGGTTTAAAGTGGCCAGAAGTCTTACTTAGAAAATAGGAAAGATAAATACTTTAATAAAAAGCTTTTAGTGGTTTTCTGTCTGGGTGTTTTGCTTTCCCTAAGAAAAGGAAAGGAAACCAGCCAACTTTTCTGAACCTGGTACTTTCCATTTTCTTTTTGCTTTCCTAAAAGAAAACAATGGAACAATTTGTGAGAGTCTGAGCCAGGAGGAGATCCTATGAACAAGGTAAGCCATATTCCTTCCCCTAAGCAAAAGGATTTTGGACAGGTTTGCATTAAGTCAAACCTGGAAATTTTCCCTAATCTCTGAAGGCCCATGGTGACACCTGACTCCACAAAGCATTACTGGGAATCTTTTAAATCTCCAATAACCCTATGACAAAACACGCTCCCTGTCAGAAGAAACACAATTGCCTCTACCAATTCCACAAGCCTTTCCCACATTAAATCAAGAGCAGTGCCTCACTTTTCAGATTCCTCCCAAAGTAGCTCCTTTCTCATGCTTTCACAGCTGCCTTGCACCTTTGCATCCTCCTGCAGCCCACACCAAGAGGTGGCTCCAGGGGCCATCCCTCACTACCCTTCTTCCTCATTCCTATCACTGACTCGGGCTGGGCTCAGTTTCCCACTCCTGAAGCCCGAGGGATCTTGCTGCTGGTGTTTAAGGACGGAAGAGACCAACAAGAACACATATAAAACAGTCAGGGACTTCTCTCAGCAGGTCTTTCCTTAATCCAAAGAACCTGTGGCTCAACTTCTTACCTTCTTTAGCACAGACCATTTTATTCCCTTCTTATGAGGAATCTCTGATTGTGCACGAGACACTACACAAGAAATAAGAAAGGCACACACCCCCCAGAAACATCATCCCAGGTCACATCCCACAGGATCAGTGTTCCTGGTCACCATTCCTGTCCTGTCTTCCCTAAGCTGATCACTTTGGCTCATTTATTCTCAGCAGAGGAGCCTGGGACTCTGGGCCAGCATTGCTCCTCTTGAGTCACAGGGCAACAGCTGCTGCTCATAGAGGCCAGAATCCAGGCCCCTTTATTTTTTCACAAGTGGTTATGTATAAGCTATATGAAATAGCTTAAACATCTTCATTCTCTGTAACTAATAAATCTAAGAGAAACATCAAAGGTTTTGTTACAGTGGTTTTCCTAAAAGAGACAAGAAAAATGGATATTGTCCTTCCACGCAGCATAAATTTCGGGATAAATGAATTCACCCACAGCTACAGAAAAACACATTTTTTTAATTTACTGAATTGTCAAGTCATTTGAGCTGTTCTATGAGTCAGCAACTGCAAATGGGTCATCTGCAACTTGCAGCATCAGGCTCCAGGGCAACACATTCCCACTTGTCCCCTGGGACACTGTACAGTGGAGGAGCAGTTAGGGATAGTCCTCAGCACAGCTTCTTCAATGCAGTCATCATCCAGGCCACACATTTTCCACTCTGCTAAATCTCTCCCCAGTTGGTAGGAAGCAAAGCAAAGCAAATGGAAAGCAAATCCTAAAGTGGTATAGATGCTTCTTAAACAGGACACTGAAGTGTCTCTCTAATTCAAGAGCATGCTTAAATGTGGTACTTGAAATCCTGCACTGCACACAGACATAGCTGTTCCGACTAACCAGGCTCTGTAATGAGCTGGACAAGCTGCAGAAGGAGGCAGATATACTTACTAGAACTGGTCCTGCCAGTTGATTGCACCTCCTATGAAACCTTGGCTTTAAATAAATTTCTCCAGTAAACTGAACACACACTGTATTTGACTGAGACAGGTGAAATTCGAAAGACAATTGGTTTAGCACCAATATATGTTTCAGAGATTTAAATGGCCCAGTTGGAAAATAGAGCATTGCCAACATCAGCCAAGCTTTAGCTGACACTGGTAACTACATTAACAGAAGCAGCAGCTGCTTTCTGATTATCTGCTTCTCTGCAGTCCAGGTACTGCCTGTAGCACAGTCACTTTGTTTTATTCATGTCAAATTGTCAAGAAGCCAAAGAGGTCAGAGAACAGACCCCAGTTTAATCTCTGCTGTGCAGAGTTCCTGGAGTCCTCAAAGCTCCTGGTCTGATCCATGCCTCTGCCTACCAGGGATACCTGAGTGCATGGCCTTTACAGGTGCCTTGAGTCAGGCACACCTGGCACACTCTCCAACATTCAAGTGCTGTGGAAATCACTGTTCCAGTGCTGGAAGCAATACCTGATCCCACTGGGTCCTTCCCACCAAACAGTCTCACCTGTGCCATGGTTCCCATCTCTGGGGCTCTTCACTTGGCCAGTGTCTGTAGGATCAAACCCAGAACAAACGATGCCCAGTTTCTGGGCCCCTTCTCATCTTTGGAGCCACGTTGTCTCTTGCTCTTGAAATGTACCTGTTTGCCCTTGTTTTAACAGGATTATGTAGTAAATTGTCCCTTGTAAGTTATCAAAGTTACAGCGGAAATATAGAGAAGCAGATGTTTATTTGCAATAGGGCAGCAGGTGAGGAAACCAGAGGCCTTACCTACAACCAGTGCATTTCCACAGGAGATTCAAGTCCACCCATCTGCACAAATTCTCTCTCTGCACATGACAGCTGAACACTCCACAGAACATTAAGAAGCAGCACAGAACTATGATGGAAAATAGAGCTAAAAACCAAAGCATTGACCCAACCTCACCAAAGTCAACCTCAGCAGAGGGTTCTTTCATGCCTGGCATTTCTGAGTGAAACCAGCAGCAGACAGTGTAATAGCAGGGATGAAAATAAACAGAACCTGTATCACTACCTCACCTATTTAACAGCTTTATTCAATTGACACAATTTACATGACAGAAATGATCACATTTATTTTCTTAAATGAGAGCAGAAGGTGGCACGGGCAGGCACTGAGCAGTCAAGCTTTCATATTCCCTGGGCAGAACTAAGTCAGCTCTGCACTTCACAATTCAGTAAATGCAAAGAGAAAAAGATTTTGCTTTATTTTACTTGCAATAAGATGCACTGATTTTTTTCCTCTCCTCCAGAAATTAACTTTTCTTTTTCAGAAGCCACAAGCCAGGGCACCATGCATACAGCTCTCACAGGACAGGGGGACTGTTCCTAGTGTTCCAGTTCCTGAGGTCTTTGCTCCCGGTATGAGGGAAATGAAGATGAATAAACCCTGAAAGATCCTCATAACACTTCCCTCGCTACAGGGCTACCAGCCCCACCATCTCTCAGGGATCCTCTGTAGGTTTAAGGATCAGGCAAACCTAAAGCAAACCCCAACTCACCCGTGTCTGAACCCAGCGATGCATTCCTGGCGGCCTGAGAGATCCTGTCTTCTGTCACCCTTGCAGACCTCCCAGGCAGCTTTATATCTTCCTCCTCCCAGCACTTGAGCCATAGCTGGGGGAAGAACAATACTGTGATGGATAGACAGACTCCCATCAGACAGAGGGAACATCTGAGAACACCCAGATAAGGGTGAGCTTTCCTCTTCAGTGTGAGGGAGAATCATTAGGTTCATCCATGGACAGGTGCCTTTTTTAGTTTCCCTGTCACAATTCAGGCAGGGAGAAGGCAGCTCAGGAGACTGTGACCTTTCCATTTTGTTTAAAGAAAGAAGGGGAAAAAAAGGAAAAACAACAAGGGAGAACCCACTAATGCCTTTCCAGCAGCCTGCAACACAGGGCAAGATAGGCATCCACTCACAGATTGTAAGGAAAAGGCTGGGGCAGTAGGGTGGGCCATCCTCTGTGCCTGTCACATCCCATCCACACAGCC